ATAATAATAATGTTTAACTCATAATTACAATTAAAAAAATTACGTTTTTTGTCTGTCTGTTTGTTTGTTCCGGATAAACTCTTAAATAGCTGGACTGATTTTGAAGCGACTTTCACTGCCAGATAGCTGATATCATAAGGTTCCTCGCAAAAAAAATCGAAACTCATATAATCCAACAGTAATAAATTCCACGCGGACGAAGTTGCGGGGAATAGCTATTAAATAAACAAACCTCTTTACTTATTATTCTAATCTATGTTTATTGCACTTTCTATCCAAATACGTAATATTGTCCACTACTGAGGGACTACTCATATCATCAATCACGCGACGTTAACATGTGAACGATATTAATTATTTTGATATGAATTTATAGATATATTTCTTGCCTTTTACTATTTGCTGTTCTCCTTGTGATTTAGAAGTGATTGTTAATAAGATTTGGGTTGTACTCAACAATTATTTATCAATCATAACCATCAAATAAGTTATGGGTTGTAGTAATTATTATGTAATTACCTAATAAACAAAGTTAGTGTGTTAAAATACCTTTATTTAAAAAATATTCATTACTAAAATAAATGATGAAATATATAAAAAAAAAAAAACGTGACAATAATTTTGTTCCTTAACATAACATTATGTGCATAAATCCTTTCATTCATTACAAACTACCAAAAGATCACAGCTGAATATAGACCACGGTTGCCACGCTTGGCAAGCGGGTTGACAACCGTTTATTATTATACAGTATTTAGTAGCTATTTTATACGTGGTAGAGCCATGCTGCAGCTATATTAGTAGTATAGTTGTAACACGAATGGGTCGGCTCGACCGGGGAAGGACCACGCTCTCACAGAATACCAGCGTCAAATAGCAGCTTCATGCTGCTGTGTTTCATATGGTAAGTGTAGAGAACTGGAGACCCATTTTACTGGAAAGGAGGCATTCTATCTTAGTCCTCACGGGTGACAACGCATCTGCAATTTGATTCGCAAACGAGCATAAATGTAGATGTCTATGGGCCACAGCAACCACTTACCATCAGGTGGACTGTGTGCTAGTTTGTCAGCCTATACTATAAAAAAATTCTCATCTGTTTGGGCTGTATAAATATATAAAAGGAAATGATAAATATACATAAATATATATTGAATATACGAGTAATAACATAAATAAATAAAAACCCAACCAGATTTTTATTATTATTTTCATTGAATTGTTAGTAGAAAAAGATCAGGCAACAGTATCTACTGTGTTAGATTCCCTCTGTCGTCTCTTAAAACACCTACAGAAAGATGGCGTGGAGGATTCCTTAACGTCCTTAGGCGTAAATTTACATTTATGACACATGCCAGTGTTTCAATTTCATGGACGAATATTTTATACTAGCTGGACAGGCAGACTCTGTTGTTCTACCCTTCGCGGCTATCCTATCCTATCTATCCTATAAAAAACCTTAAATTCGCAATAAAAATATTGAGGGTCACTTGTCGGAATAGAAACTATCCTATCTCTCTTGTTGGACCAAACTGCATACAGTGTGAAAATTTTTATTGAAATCAGTTCAAAGGTTTAGAAGTTCAGTGCGAATAAACAAAGTGAAACGTATTTTTATATGTAAAGTTATAATGAAAAAAGTAGATTTAACTACCTACACAATTTATTATACGCGGACGCCTTTTGCATTATGTAATTGCGCAATTATAGTGCCATCTTAAAGTATCCACATCGAGAGAGATAGAATGTCGTACAAGCGTTTTTGGAAGGTTTTTTGAAAGATTTTTAAATAAACACTGCTGAGCTTATGCCTCGCTGCAATAAATTTATTTTTATTATTTATGTTAATACGTAGATCCATGCTGCAGCTATATTACGGTTGTAGCACGAATAGATCAGCTCGACCGGGGAAGGACTACGCTCTCACAGAATACCAGCGTGAAATAGCAGCTTAATGCTATTGTGTTACGCATTGCGAGTCTAGAGATCCGGATATCCTTTTTACTGGAAACGATGCTAACAGGTGACAACGCATTTGAATTTTGTTTCTTATTTTTGGATAAATGTAGATATTTATGAGGAAAATCATCCACGCAAGGAACCGCAGCAAGCTTTCTTATCACTACACTGCGGAGGTTTTTTTTTATAGGATCGGGTGACAAACGAGCACACAGTCCACCTGATGGTAAATGGTTACTGTGACCCATAGACATCTACATCTATCCTCAATAAAGACTCAAGATACAGATGCGTTGTCACCCGTAAGGACTAAGATGGAACGCCTCTTTGCCAGTAAAAACGGTCTCCGGTTCTTTACACTCACCATACGAAACATAGCAGTGTTAAGCTGCTTTTTACGCTAGTTTTCTGTGAGAGCGTGGTCCTTCACCGGTCGAGCCGACCAATTCGTGCTACAACCATAATATAGCTGCAGCATGGCTCTACCACGTAGAAAAGGTTGTAGGACTGTATAACAATATAAGTTTTTAGATTTAGGTTTTTTATTATGATAATAAATATTGTATGAATTTATTTACATGACATAAAATGCTATTAAATAAATGAATACATTTTAAAAATAGCATAATGACTTTCATCCATCCATCCATTACAGCTTATAAAAGTCCACTGTTGAATATAGGCCTTCCTCATAAATTGCCTCATGGGAGGGATTCTACCATAGTTGCCACGCTTCGCAAGCGTGTTGATAACCGCAGTTTTTTTATTATTTGAGTTGTAATCAGGAAGATGCTGCTGCCCAACTCCTGTTTCATTTTCCCTCTGTCTGATGTGCGGTAGTGGATATTCTTACACCGCCACTACACGGTTAATGCTTTACAACTAACAAAATTATTAGAAATCATTTATTTTAAAAAATCTATCGGAATGGCAGCGCGCTTAAAACAATTATTTGAATGAAAATAGTTTTATAAAAAGTAAAGTAGTGACAAAGATATTGTGGCAACAACATATTACTTTATTAGCTACAAATATATTTCCGGGTCTAGATGATTGTCCGTGTGCAAGTGTGTATGTAGAATGCGTTTACATTAGATATTAATTTTAAATAATTAAATTTTAAGTGTGCTATATAAAATTTACGTGACAAGGGATAACAATTTAAAAAAAAAAACATAGGACAATTTGAACCTATTACACGATACAGTTGCGTATAGCAGCTTTTAAATGATACCAAGTATTGCTAGCTACTTCAGCAATCATCGCGATATATTCCGTTCTAGACGCGTAGTAATTCTGTTTCCATATCGCCATTCAACTGTCAGTCTACTCTGTTTTAAATGCTTTTGTATAAATTGTCACTCCCAGTGGCTGCAAATATCCGTATACCAACGAACTGACAGATGCCTGTTACATCAGAACATCAATCGTGTAAATCGTATTGAACAATTTGTAGTAATAAAATAAAATTACTGATTTGGATTGTGAACGTACAAGTCGCAGCATGTAAGTCTAGCGCTGAACGGACGATACGCGCATAAATTGAATTGCACGAATGCGACTGGAGAGCCAATCAGCGCGTGCGAACGATACGCACAAGCCAATCAGCGCGACTTATGCGCAATGACGGTCACCGCTAGACTTTCGTGCCGCTTCTCACAGTAGTCCTTCCTAATCACGAATAGTTTGATTATCATGGCCACATCTTATAGTAAAGTGCAATGCTGAACATAGGTATACTCCAAAAATTACCTCATACAGGGATATTGGCCATAGTTGTCACACTTAACATTATGATTTGGGGTAAAAATATCGTGGGTTGTGTCAATTTGCATTTTTTTAATGTAATAGGGTGATAAGCGAGCACACAGTTTAACTCATGGTAAATGGATGCTATGGCCCATTGACATCTACATTTATCCTTAATTAAGAATCAATATGTAGATACGTCGTCACCCCTGGACTTAGATCGAATGCCTCGTTTTCAGGTAAAAAGATCTCCGGTTCTCTACACTTACCATACGAAATACAGCAGCATTAAACTGTAATTTTACGCTGGTTTTTTTGTGAAAGTGTAGTCTTACCCTGGTCGAGGCAACCCATTCGAACTACATCCATAATATAGCTGCAGCGTGGCTCTACCAAGTATGAATCGTAAAAATATTATTGTATCGTTATTGAAATATCGATGTAGGCGTTTATGCTATGCCAGCAATAGCATTTGGTTTTTTTTCCTGTTTAAGGTATCTATTTATATACGTATATAATATACAAATATGCAATAAATGTAAAATAATTAAAAGAAAATAAAGTTATAATACAGTCCTACTCCCCACGGTATAGTGCCACGCTTGCTGCGTTTCATCTATAGTCAAGCGAGACAAGAAACTGCCCTCTTGTCACGTGCAGCTACAACCCGCGGTATACCTTAACAATTATTTCTAGGTTATTATATTTTATTTCGTAGATTTAGGGCTATTTTATGTCATATACCCATGTGGTATACGAAATAAAATAGCCCTAGATCTAGAAATAATTGCTTTGAATCACGACCTGTAAATCTACGAAATATAGCTTATAAATCCAACATGTATGTACTTCCCAAAACTAAAAATTTCTATGGAGCAAGAAAGTTGGCCCATCTTGTACCTACTTTTATTAATGCCTTGCCACTAGAATTACAAAACACATACGGTAAATCAAAACTGTTTAAAAGTAAACTTAAATCATATTTCATAAATCAACCATACTTATTGTAGTAAGTACTTCATACTGGATTATTGTGATTTAATATTAATACATCTTTGTTTTTATAAGACGACTCTCTAGTGTAATAAACCCCTAGAGATTTATATGCTAGTATTGTACTGTATAATGTAACATAATTATGCTTAATAAATTTAAAAAAAAGGAATTATGTTCTTGTGTACTTTATGTACGAAAAAATCACCAAGAAAGAACATGTTTTCAATTAAAAAAATATTAAAGAGCACTTTACCAGCTGGCAATATCTACTCATCGATAAAATTATTGTTATTTACCTTACAGCCCTCGCAAGTGAATGCACCAAAGTGAAATCCAGCCGCAGGCTCACCGCAGACTTTACACTGTTGGTTCATCTGAAACATAAAAACGAATTATTGTAATCATATTCATCATGTATAATAAAATTATTAAAATCGACTAGTGAAGTGCTATTTTTGAAATTATTTTTTTCTTGATGTTTGACGTATGAAATCGTAAAATAACAAAGTATTTTCGATATCATGATATTACGGATTTTCCTCAAAAGTTATTTGAGATCAGTTTTAAACATTGTCGTTAAGATAATAAACTTCAGTTAACTGTTTATAGTAGATAATGTAGTCGAGAATTATATACGATAGTCGAAGTATTATGTTTGATCAAAAGCCTATAATAGGCAACTGCTGAAAATAGACCTCCCCCAAAGATTTCCTTACTGTGTTATTATGCCATAGTTACTACGCTTGGCAGGCGGGTTGAGAACCGCAGTTTTGAAAATGTTTATATAGTTATCGGGAGGATGAATATCCCCTCTGACCCCTGTTTTCCTCTGTCGCCTCTTACGACACCCACGTGACGATATGAGGTAGTGGATATTCTTAAACTGCCAATTATAATCACCATCTCGTAAAATAATCAATGAAAACGCTCACTCGAAACAGTGCGAAGCAAGGCAGTACGTCCAATATAAATGCATTAAATTTAAACTTGCACGTAAAACTCTTGAAGTGGTTCGAATGTTATGATTACCGAAACCAAGGGCCGAAAATTGGGTATTGCGTGCTTAAAAAAATTTAAGCAAATATTAAGTCACGCATGTAATAAAATAAAATAAAGAATAGCTGACTCAAGGTCGTACCTTGATATCAAAAAGAGATTGTGTGTCATTGTGTATTTCAAGGGAAATCAATAGATATTTTAATCAAGATTTATTACTAATTTATAAAAATTGCAAGTGTTGTTATTTATGTATTTATACCGATGTATAAATCTTGTAGCCTCGATATCTTTTTGTATATTACATACGACGATTCGTATGTAATATACAAAAAGATATCGAGGCTACAAAGAATATCGTATATAGTAAAATCTACTGATATACTTATATATAAAGATGTTATTTATCAATATTAATCGAAATATAAAATCCAAGAAAAAATCCTTTATGAAACAGAACATAAAATTGAAAATATTAGCCAAGTACACGTCGCGACACGCTTAATATGGGGTTTCTTTATGCAAATGTCAAATCATATCAAAAATCTAAATGCTGCAGTGTTCGTATTATTTTAATGTAAGTGCTATTTTTTAAATATTAATCTATAAATTTTAGTTACATAGACAAAATAACATGCATCTAGAGCCGTATAAACTAAGAGGCCTTAGCCTGGCTCGTAATACATTTGACAGTAGCCTAGCAACCCAAGTTCGACTACCGCGGACACCAATAAAATTGATAATTGCAATTTTAATTCCTAATTTATCACGTGCACGGGATTAAAAAACAGTGTAAGGAATCACAAGGGTTTTTTTTAGTAAAAGCGGAACTCCAAAAAGACACAACTGAGATATGAACTTTAAGTAACCGATCAATCATGTCATTAAAGATTTATTCATTAATAACTGACATGTTTATCAATGAGAGCACGTTTAGCAAGGTACACTTTGGTATCCTGTTTTATTATTAATATTTTACACGTTTTATACTTCAAAATAAGCAGCAAAAAATAATGCTACAATATATAGTGTGGTGGGTGTAGAGAACCGGAGTCTTTATTCTGGAAACGAGGCATTCCATATTATTCCTCAGGGTTGACAACGCATATATATTTTGATTCTAAATCGGGGATAGATGAAGATGTCTACGGGCCACTGCATCCACTTACCATCAGATGGACTATGTGTTTGTTGATCACCCTAATTCTATAAATCAAGAATATGTACGACATCTATCTTATTTGGAATAAAGATTATGTTCGCAATTTTTGTTTGTTATACCGATATCTATCGCAAACCATAATACCTCGTTTATATTATGCTCATATCACTGCTATTTGCATTGCCGTAATAACTTCCAGAAATACTTCTGTGGGAGCATCAATAGCAGTGAGTGTTTACATGCTGCTTCAATAACTACGTCCTTCCATCCATTACAGCCTATAAAAGTCTACTGTTGAACATAGATTGCCTCATATGGGGGATTTTACTATAGTTTCCACGCAGGTGGGTTGACATCTGCAGCGTTTATTATTTTGATTTATTATTAGGAAGATATTGCTGCCCATCTCTCGTTTCAGTTTCTCTATGTCGCCTCTTACGTCACCCACCACGGGACGATATATGTAGTTAGTGAATATTCTTACACCGCCACTACATGGTTATTAACTGATTTTTTGTATTATTTTTTATTATTGTATTATTGTACCTCCTTTTATTAATGCCTGGCCACTAGAATTACAAAACACATACGGTAAATCAAATCTGTTTAAAAGTAAACTTGTATAATGTATAAATATTTGATAAATCAACCATACTTATTGTAGTAAGTACTTCATACTGGATTATTGTGATTTAATATTAATACATCTTTGTTTTTATAAGACGACTCTCTAGTGCAGATAAACCCCTAGAGGTTTATATGCTAGTAATGTACTGGATAATGTAACATAATCATGCTTAATAAATTAAAAAAAAAAACGTTGAAATACCTCAATATAAGTCGAAATAATTACACTTTTGGCGTTTTTGCACTCTCAATAAGTGTATAGAGATATTCCAGTACCTTTAAATATTTTAGTCGTTGCTCCTTTTGCATGATGCCAATATACAGAGCGAATGTGCACTTTGCGGGTTTGGAGACAACCTAGTATTATAATAATAATCTGTGGCTGTGACTGAGCGATAGAGCAATATGTAAACAGTGACTCGCACTTGCGTTGCCCTATCATTGACTCCACACGAAAACTGCCCATGCAGGGAGATTACGGCTCGAACCAAAAATTAATATTCAAAAACTGAAGGTAGCCGGGCTAACTGTGACATCGGGACATCAAACATCTCAGTCCCCACCGTGACCATGGGTTGTTGTAAAGCACCGGAAATGTCGGGAATTAAAATACTCGTAAGTAAATTAAACGCGTTAAAATCCTTAAAAATAGTTTTATTCAGAAATGACATCTTTTGTAAAATTACGCTGCCAACTTTCATGCTCACTGCCATAGTAAGCTGAATGTAGATGAGGCAAGGACATTCTGACATTTTCCATTGTTGCTTATCGTGACACCTACGGGATAAAATAGCGTGATAAATTCCAATAGACCGTCACCACAAACAATTTTTCAACGTATTATGAAGTAATAGTTCACCATCCATCGTTCACAGATACTCATTTGTTAATCAGCAGGTTGCATTACGTGCGTGAGATTTTCATTTAAAGTGACATATTTTCCTTTTGTACACCACTTTATTGCTATTAAAGATTTAATAGCTATAATTGCGTGGCGACAAGTGGACGAAATGTTTATTTTTAAAAATGCTCTTGTCAAAATGACGAGGCAGTTTTGTTGTTACATAAATCAAATAAAATGACTTGCGATTACCGCTACCGAATATCGAGTAAGGCAAGCGTTGAACGTTGTTATTAAAATGCCATGCAATCTACACTTAACGTTATAAATACGAAAGTAACGCTGACTGTCTGTTACGTTTTCATGTGTAAATTGATAAACAAAGTTTGATGAAATTTCGTATATAGATAGCTTTAACCTCTATGAAGGACATAGGCTACTAATACCCATGATAGGGTGAAATAGAGATTTTTTGGTATCACTAAAGAAAAAAGTTTTATTTTTTTTAAATATTATACTGAACTCTACCTATTTTAATGGTTGAACACATATTCCTGTTCATGTTCATGTGCATGTTCCTGCCCGTGGCTCCTGTGTAATTACTGGCTTATTTCAACATCACCATTATAACAGTCCAAATCAAAGTTCACTACTGTATGTTGCTCCATGGGTTGAGGGAGATATTGGCAATAGTTGACACACTTTTCACGCGTTTGTAATTTCTAGTTGTTATTAGAAAGCCGCTGCTGCCCACCTCCTGTTTTGTTTCCCTCTATTGCCTCTGACAACACCTACGGGACGTTGTCAGGAAGTGGATATTCTTACACCGCCTATGCATAGTATATGAACATAAAATTCTCGAAGACACCTGCAAGCAACCCAGCTTCAAAAAAAGAACACACATGTGGTGTCGTCCCTGATTACTAAAATGGAATGAGGTCTTCCATCTTGTAATTACACTAGCTTTCTTATAATTTAAATTGATGTGTTCATGCTAATTGCAACAGATGCTTAGCGATAGACTGATTATTTACACAAAACTGAGGTCTGCGACATAATGCGAGTCTAATTTAGGTTTAAGTTACTGAGCATCGCGTGCCAACAATGTGTATTTTAGTAAACCGATTTCCTTGTCCAGTTAAAAAACAAGTTCACATATTTTCTTTAAAAAATTAAATAAATGCTCAATAATGACACGGTGCGGCTCAAGGGTTAACTGGATGGCGTGACTGCGCACTGTTAACATTTAGCAGTTATTTTTTTCTTCTTTTTTTTATGTGGCTAACCCGCGCCTGCATCTCAGCTTTGATCTAATTATCTCACAGCTGATTAAGTTTTTTGTGTTTGGCTACATCATTGTTATCTACGGTTCTATTGATATGATATATAAAATTTTTAAACAGCATTATTATATGGCGCAAAATTGATAAATATTCACATAATAATGCGATAAAATACTAACATTTTCAATTAGTTATACTAAGCTTTCAACACCATACTAAACTTCAACAATAACAATTAACTACGACTTTGTAACTGGCAGTAACGGCGTTGGGCGAGGCCAATGTAATATTTGAAGTCCGATGAAACATGCCGATGGATGCAGTTGCCTTTGGGCAATCAATAGAGGAGGCATATGTTCAGAAGTAGACATGTAACTGACTGTAGTATACTGTAAATTTTATATTAAACTTGTTCTATATACGTAAAAAAAAATCAACATAAGAATAATACACAATGCAATGATA